GTCCCGGATATCGTTTTTTGTCCCGCTAAATTTCGCGCCTTGTCAAAACAAAGATGGCCGACTCGAGGTTCGTGTTGGTTGATGTCGACAGTTTATCGAAGAAAACAAGAACGATAATACAAAATGAAAGACTTAAATTGTATATTATTTATATGAATGGTCTATTTATTTTCTAAAATCATATTTGTTCAGTAAATGATGAATTGTTTTGAATTCTAAAATGATCCTATTTTTTCAAAAATCAAAACTGTTTTATACTTTGGGTGTCAAACCCTGATAAAGGTACAAGTATATAATAAATAGGTTATCGTACTCGGGATTCGGTGATATCAGTTTTATCGCTCTCGGGACGATATCACAATTGTTCCTCGCTCGCTGCGCTCGCTCGTGACAATTGTGATATCATCCCTCGAGCGATAAAACTGATATCACCTCATCCCTTATATGATAACCTATATATATATATATATATATATATATATATATATATATATATATATATATATATATATATATATATATATATATATATATATATATATATATATATATATATATATATATATACCGGGGGTGGCACAAAAAAAAGTTAACCTGTTTGATTTATTTTAACTTTAAAACTAAAAGAGCTATTACACCTAAACTACGTGCATTGCATTCAATATTGTTTAACTTAAATTTTGATATACGCCCTGTGCAATTTCGTGCAATATTGACCGAGAGAGCTGCGTTTAAACTTTAATAAACATTTTTGGAAGTGTCGAGAATCAGCTAAAAACAGCCTGTTAAACTAATTTGATAACTGTTTCCAGTTACCATTTTATCGTGAATATTCGTTTGAATGAAATGAAATTTAAATTAAAAATGTTTATTGGATGGATGTGCTCCTTTATTTTTGTTTAAGGTCTTTGGGAATGCATGAAAATTAAATTATGAAGCGATTTTGATTTTAAAAGGTTTATTCTAAATATTCAATGACCCTGGGGAATCAAATTCTAATGTTCCAAGGAAGAAACGTCAACTGTTTTTGTATAAATACGCCTCGTTTAACGAAGGTCCAAAGAGTTTCGATATGTTTAGAATATGCAAGAGTATAGGCTAAATAATACTCGTGAGGTTATACCGGTGGCGTTGCGCAGGTCTCTGACAACGAACGTGTACTTTATTCTGACTATAGCATCTAAGCACAGGTTATTGCTGTATTAAATATTTGATAGGCCATGTTTTTGGCTAATTCTCGACACTTTCAAAAATGGTTACTCAAGTTTAAACGCAGCTCTCTCGGTCAATATTGCACGAAAATGCACCGGGCGTATATCAAAATTTAAGTTAGACAATACTGAATGCAATGCACGTAGTTCACGTGTAATAGCTCTTTTAGCTTTTAAGTTAAAACAAATCAAACAGGTTAACTTTTTTTTGCGCCACCCGGTATATATATAATTAATTCTTGTTGTCCGTAATTGAACGAAGAGTGCTGAATACTAATATACGATATAGAGCTTAAATAATTCTTTAATCTTAAAATATATTTGTCGCTACACTTTGTTTCACGCTTCTTTCGAAGCGATCTTCTATAGTGATTTTTTATGGTTGGCATGCCTCTTCTTGAACGTCCAAGAAGAGGCATGCCAACCATAAAAAATCACTAACTGTTCCTCGGTATTCAGCGGGAACAGAATTATCAAAGTATGCGTGGAAACTCAAGAAAAGCGGGAAACAATACAACATCAAGTGGAGCATACTAAAGCGTGCCCGTGCGTATACGGCTGGTGCAGCAAGATGCAATCTGTGCCTTGAAGAAAAGGTTTGCTTACTGGAAGCTGACAAAAGCAGGATATTGAATAAACGCTCAGAAATATTCGCGAAATGTTGTCATAGAAATAGTTTTAGCGCGCGCAAATTTGAACGCACGCGAGATGCGTCAGGAAACCGTTAGTTTAGAGCACGTCATTGAATCAACTTCAATCGCCTGAAGATCGCTTCGAAAGAAGCGTGAAACACAGTGTAGCGACAAATATATTTTAAGATTAAAGAATTATTTAAGCTCTATCGTATATTGGTATTGAGCACTCTTCGTTCAATTACGGACAACAAGAATTAATTATTCGCACCTGCAACGCAGTTGTGCACTCTATTTTTCCGTTTTGATTACACAATCAATAATCTTAAAATGCACAAGATTCAATTCAACTACTCGCTGAAAAAACGTTGGTTTGCCAACACATAATCAATATCGAAGACGCCTGATTGAAAAAGTGGAAAGCGTCGTCCAACGCGTATGCGGTGGAAAGCGAATTTTTTTCTTGGTGGTGATAGTAATAACTTAAGAGACAGTAAATTTGGACTACCGTCTAGGAAATGTGCGCCTAATGTTACTGAAATGAAAGGATTTGAGGAAGATCTGATCCGGATGGTAACAAATGTCAAATTTAAAAATGTCGTCGACCCTTTCTTAAACAATGTTGCCGAAGATTTAGAAAAAGTTAATTCGTCGAAAAATGTTTTAATATTCGCTGACAAAACCAGAAATATTTACGAAGTAACACCTGGAGCATATGATAAACACATGTGAAATTATGTGTTTCACATGTGAAGTTTCTCATGTGAAATTTCACATGTGAATTTGGAACATGTGAATTTGGAACATGTGACTTTTCACATGTGAACACATGTGAAATTATGTGTTTCACATGTGAAACTTCACATGTGAAATTTTACATGTGAATTTGGAACATGTGAATTTGGAACATGTGACTTTTCACATGTGAACACATGTGAAATTATGTGTTTCACATGTGAAATTTCACATGTGAATGTGGAACATGTGAATTTGGAACATGTGATTTTTCACATGTGAACACATGTGAATTTGGAACATGTGAAACATAATTTCACATGTGAAATTTCACATGTGAAAAACCACATGTTCCAAATTCACATGTGAAATTTCACACATGTGAAATCATGTGGAATTTTTGTAAGGGAAACCTATAAACTGGGAAACGACAATTTAACTGAAGATATCAATACTGAATTAAAAAACATTGCAAGTAATCTTTCTATCGCAGATCGCGTCGATACCATGGCAAAAAGAAACGCATTTATAACGCTCAAGGACCACAAAGATAACTTTGATTCAAACCCGAAATGTCGCCTAATTAATCCAGCAAAGAGCGAGCTTGGTAAAGTAAGTAAAGTCATACTTGACGAGATTAACAACAAGATTAGATCAATACTTAATGTAAACCAGTGGAAGAACACGTTATATCTGTTATTGACTGGTTCAGAGATATCAATAACAAACCGAACCACACATTCCTATCTTTCGATATTGTCGAGTTTTATCCACCCATTACAGAAAGTCTTCTCGACAAAGTTATCTCATGGGCTAAAACATTAATAAGCATTACCGAAAAGCAAGTATCTATCATCAAACACGCAAGAAAATCCTTGCTGTTCTATACGGTGAAACGACATGGGCAAAGAGAAACACCGCGTCGCTATTTGACGTTACAATGGCCCGGTAGTTACGATGGCGCAGAAATATGCGAACTTGTCGGCCTATTCATTCTAAAAGAAATTTCGGATAAGTTTGGGAAAAAAACGTGGGGTTATATCGGGATGACGGTTTAATGCTATTACACTGTAAGAGCGGGAGGCTAGCGGACAAAGCAAGGAAAACATTGCATACTATCTTCCACGAGTTAGGTTTAAAGATTACAGCCGAAGTCAACAATCACATCGTGAACTTTCTTGACGTTACATTGAATCTGCAAGAAGAGACATTCTCCCCATACCGAAAACCGAACAACGATCCCCTCTATGTTGACAGTCGTTCAAATCATCCACCTTCTATCATAAAGCACATCCCGGAAGCAATTAACAAACGAATCTCCACCTTATCGTCCGACCAAACTTCATTCAACTTATCCGCGCCTTTCTACCAGAACGCACTACGCCGTAGTAATTACAATACAACTTTACAATACTCTGCTGATGAAAACTGTAGCGATACCCCATCATCAAAAACGAGAAGGCAGAAAAGAAATATTATATGGTTCAACCCTCCCTTCAGCAAGAACGTTAAAACAAACATTGCACATAACTTCCTTCAACTAATTGACAAGCATTTCCCCAAAACATCTCGCCTCGGCGCCTCCACAAGATCTTCAATAGAAACTGGCAGCGTAAAAGTGAGCTACTGGTGCATGAGCAACATCAAGAGCGTTATCTCCAACCGCAAACAACACCTTCTTGGAAAAAGAAACCAGCCAGAAAGTAAAGAAACGTGTATCATGATAAAGACAAATGTCCGCTTGACAATAAATGTTTATCAACAAGTGTTGTATACAAAGCAGAAATCTCGACCAGTGACGGCGAAGAAACGAAGGAGTACATTGGAATGACGGCGGGGACGTTCAAGAAGAGGCATGCCAACCATAAAAGATCACTAACTGTTCGATTGTTGAGTTGTAATTTCTTAAAAAATGCCCTGTCGAAAAGGTACCACGTTAGGATGCAGTACATAGAAACATGCAGGAAAGTTATCTCTCTTTCACTACAGGGATTTATATTTTGAGTTACAATAAAAGTTTGCAGTTAAAAGTATTGTGCACTCAAAATAAATAAACATTATAGCGTCTGAAATATAATGTGTTTCAATTTTTGATGACTTTAGTTGTTGGCGCAGTGACCATTTTGTATGCGTTTCGCTCTTCTGGATATGCCACACCCATGGTACGTAGTGCTGTCGAGGTTCATGCTCAGATGACGTCTGCTGAAAGAATTTTGGCTTACACCGAGATTGTACCAGAGAAGGGACGGGAAATCCAGGAACAGCCTCCTAAAAATTGGACAGAACGTGGAAGTATACAATTTAACAATGTTTCACTTCGACATTATAAATATGGACCTAAAGTTTTGAAGGATCTGTCATTTGAAATTAATCCAGCTGAGAAGATTGGTATTGTTGGAAGGACAGGTGCTGGTAAATCTTCTTTGGTTGCTGCACTGATGAGAATTGGCGATATTGAAGGAAATATTATTATAGATAGTGTCGGTATTGAAGATTTAAATATCCTATCTACTCGTCAACGGATTTCTGTTATTTCTCAGTCCCCTGTACTATTTAATGGTACTATCAGAGAGAACATGAATCCGACAGGTGAACTTGATGATTCTGAAATATGGAATGTTTTGGATCAGATGCAATTGGGCATTCTTGTTGGAAGTTTACCAAAAAAACTTGATAGCGAATGCACTGGTGGTGGTTCAGATTTTAGCGTTGGTCAACGACAGTTATTTCATCTTGCAAAAGTTTTGCTGAAACGAAACAAAATTATAATCTTTGATGAAGCTACTGGGAAGGTAGACCAGAAAACTACTGCACAAATCCAGAATGGTATTCACGGCGTGCTTAAAGATTGTACAGTGATAACAATCTCACATCGTATGGCTGCCGTTAAGGAGTGTAACAGAATTATGGTGTTGGATCAAGGTTCAATTGTTGAGTTTGACAAACCAGATGTTCTACTGAACAAAAAGAAGGGCATGTTTCTGGAACTCACGGAAATTGCCAAAGAGACATAACTCAGTAATTCCTTCTGTGTTTGCAATCAGCATATATAACTATATAATAATTCTTTTCATGGGGGAACACCCAGTGAGCTCCATAAACATTGTATTAATAACGTAGTCAAGTGAGCACACGTGTGCTCATGTTCGTGCCGATTAATCTTTAATGATTAATATATAGGTACGGTTTTTAACCAATCAGAAGATATTAAAATAACACCATGGTTTATGAAATGATAACCTGATTAGCGGTGCAGTCCGTTAGAAAAAACTGGAACTAGCTGGGAAATATGCATGGTATAAAAGCTGTTTACGACCTTCAGAGTTATTGGACGTCAATGGCCTCCATGTAATTATTTGGCTTCACTTTTCTCATAGCCGAGCCGAATGACTGAATTTGTTGCTCCAGATATATAAAGAGCTCACTGGAAACACCACGTAACTATATATTTATATTGGGAAAACTTCCGATCCGTAACCGATATCATCATCAGTACAAGTAATGCCAGAATAGCTTCCAATCTATTCACCGCCAACGGCCTTTAATATACTCAGGTTTTAAATAATTTTGGAATATAATTAAAAGGACGTTTGAATTGAAACAATAGACTTATAATATTTGCGCTGCATGTTGATGATCCGGCTAATTTGCGGTTGCTATGGATCGATCATGCCAAATCAAATAGACTCATGCATGTGAGATAAAGTATAATAGTTGATATAAAGCAGACCTGGAAAATAAGAGAGCTCGGTGTGTTAGGCGTACTAGAAATACATGCATGCAGAAACTCCCGACTTGCTACCAAAACCACTATATTTTCTATAAATATGAAGTGGTTGTCATGGTAACACGATGATTAATTCATTCTTAGTTTTATCCCCGAGCCGACGGCGCGAAGCGCCGTGCGAGGGTACTAATTCCCCCCGGCTATTTACACCCGGGGAAACGAAAGCATTAGCGGAGTCTAAAGTTCATCAAATATCGCGGGCGTGGGTCACCAACAGTGTTGGGTGGGTGGTCATCCTCACTGATCTCAAAAATATGGCGGACTGTCACGAATAGCGGACACTGATTGGTCCAATTTAAAGTTTGCATTATAACGACTGCATGACGACAGCGAAATAGCAAACATTTCTTGAGTTGATTTGATGATTGATAAATTTCTTGCAAATATATTTCATTTTTGCTCGCATTTTTGCAAGATTTTGTAAATTTCAAAAGCTCTCTGAGAAAGGAACTGCGAAAGAATCGGCTAAAAGAAGGGAGCCGACGTTAACGAAGGTAAGTTTGTTTTAAATATTGATTTTATAATGGATTTAAAACCCGACGGCCTTTGCGTATACGAAACAACTAAACAAGACAGCATATAATTTCAGTGTATCTTTAATATTGATTCCCTTTTTTATGATATTGAATTTTTTAAATAAATAAGAAAGCAAAGTTATTTGCAAGCGAGAATTTTAAATCATTTTATTGCAAACTCAAAGTTTATCGATAAAGCCATTTTAAAAGCAGTTTAGTTTTATATTACAGAACACTAATGACTTTAAAACGCTTTGCGAAGCGTTTGTGGTTGAATTTTACCTTAAATCGAGGCTTATATTACGTATAATAACATACCTAACATATATATGTTGGGAAATTAATAATTTTGTGATTAAAGTGATATTTATAGGCGATTTTTCATTTGTAAGAATATTCTTAAAAAATTATCGTGTTACCATAACAACTTAGATACTTCATGTTCGGAAAATACAATGGTTTTGTCAGCAAGCGAGGGTTTCTGCATGCATGTATTTTCTAGTACAAATATTAATACTGTAATAGAGTGAACATGTCATGCCGTCAACTCAAGTCATGTCGCGATGGAAGCTTTTCTCCAGCGCAGAAAATCTTTTTATAGCGGAACAAACTAAGTTATACAAAACAAGTGAAACTCCAAAAATCGATAACATTTTTATTACACTGGCCTGTAGGCCAAGTGTCTTAAATCCCCCTTTTTCTGGGTTTTTTTTCGTAGTCGAGAAATCGAGTTTGCGTTAGCTCATCGCAGGCTCAGGCTGCAACGATTAAGCCAAAATGCCTTCGATACCTCGGTTCCGTAATTTATATAGTACAGTAAAAAGTTCGTATTTATGTACGTAATAGCCGGCTCATGCCATGCTTGTGGTACATTTTTTGTTTATTAGCCCATACACTTGTACGCACGCGCACAATTCCGAACTCCGACGATAGAGAGCGCCAGTGCTCCAGTGACATATTCAGTTCAGTTTCAAAATGGCGGCTTTTCACTGAGCTATCTAATATATATTTCACACAGTTTCGTTGAGTTTTTAAATAATTGTGCCGGTTTTCCTGTGAAAAATACGTTGTGTCGCACTCTGGGCTCTCTGGCGTGTTGAATGTATGTGTTTTTCTTTGTGTAACGACTCGAAAACCCCAAAATTTGGACCGAGCGAATTTCTACAATATAGTGGAATATAAACAAGGACAAGCTAAATGTTTGACAGTTTGACTTTTTAATTAACAAGTATAACTATACGTTGTAGACTCATAAACATGTGTTGCGCACTTGTGTTCATTTGCATAATTGTAGATTTGCATGTAATTACATTAATTTGCACCAAATTATGTTCCATTTCATATATTAGCCTTCTATAGTCTATAAAAATGAATGTATTTTTCGATTGTATTCTGATTCAGCGAGGTGGCGTTGCGTGCGGCGAAGTGAAACGTGGTATGGTTCGATTTGTTTTTGGAACAAGATCCAACTTTCCCCCCAACTTTTTAATTCTCAAATTGTTTATTAGATGTTTACTGGTTGGGGGTAGCCCGCGTGCAGGCCCAAAGGAAGAATAGTGGGGTTAGAGAAGGGTTTGGGATCAGTTTATCTTGTAACTGGCAGCAAATTGGCGATTTTTTTGGAAGAATCGTCTATGTCTATAAACTTCTTAGCACCTGAAACGAGCCATATAATGGCATTAAAAATCAAGGACAATAGAATTTATTTGCTAGTATTGACCCATCATTATTTACGGTTGATAGTTGATGATCATAGTTACAGTGCACCTGGCTTGTCAGGTTGAATTGTCCGTAGCCAGAGCGGCAGAGGGTACGCCTGAGCCGGCGTCTTGGTATATTATGGTTGATAGTTGCTAATCATGATTGTATTTATTGGTTGTATTTATATGGTCCAGACCCCCTGTATACCTATTTGCTTCTCTACTACACATTAACCCTCCACAAAAGTTGCCATTTTCAGGCCAGTGTGAACGCCTGAGCAGGCGTCTTGTTTACCTACGTTTCGATTATATTTCAGTCATCATCAGGATAAACTAACTAGGTTATATATCAAAAGTGGTATTTATATGAAGAAATATGATACAATAATTAGGTTGATTATTAATGAATTAATTAAATATGATTAGTTCTTTAGAAGCTTATGATGGACTTAAAACTTCATAGGGCCTGTTTATATTGAAGCCGGGCTGGCCCGCTTAGCGAGACATCCCGGTAAGCGAGATCTCGCTGTGTAAGTATTTTTATAGTAAACATTATGGTGCGTTTATATGGACAAGCGGGCTGGCCCGGTTGCTGAGATCTCGCTTGAAAGAGGCGATTTAATTAATTCATTAATAATCAACCTAATTATTGTATCATATTTCTTCATATAAATACCGCTTTTGATATATAACCTAGCTAGTTTATCCTCGGATGATGACTGAAATATAGTCGAAACGTAGATAAATAAAAATGTTATCGATTTTTGGAGTTTCACTTGTTTTGGGCATTTTATTAAAATACGCAATGGTTCTAAAAACTAAGTTATAATCTCAAATAACCCACACTAAGTAAAGCATTTTAATACCTTCGTATTATTTCTGTATTTTGTTTGCATCATGTTGTCTGAGATTTATAAACAGGTTTTTTTTGTCTAGCCAATCACATCACTTCATGTGACTGCTAATTATAACTAACCAATCATGTGCTTGGTACAAATTTTGTACCAAGGAAGAGAGATTTGTATCGCGTACCACCAGAGGTTCTCTTCGCCTGGCGTAAAATAAATACGAGCGAGAATAAGGCGAAAGATACAGAATCTCTGGCAACCAGGGTACCTCCTCGCCAGAGCATGCAGTGAACATGATGTTTTGTGGACCGGCACGTGATACGGTTTTGACCAATTGGCAAACAGAAAAATTGAACTTTGACACTAGCTATATAACAACATCAATTATGGTCAACATGTAGTGTAGCCCGTGGTCTTTGTGCTTTTGTAAAAGGAGTTATCTATAAATTTAAGATGCGAGCTGATTTTTGTAGCAAGTTGTATAAATCATAGAATAATCCATTTAAGAAGTTCCTCAGGTTGTAAAACATTTGGTTATAGACCTACTTTGTAAATGGTTGCCCGTGGCCAGCATGATGTAAGAAATGTATAAGGCTGTAACAAAGCCAAACCTGAAATAATTTTTGCTTCAAGATAGCAGTTAATGAAACATTTGTATCTGGATAAAAAAGAAGTGGTCATGGTGAATCCAAATACAGATGCTTCCTTGTCTGTTGCCATGTGAAACAATGTTGTTTATAGCAATAAGAGTCATTGTGAATCGATACAAGGCTCACTTGCTAAAAATATGCAAGCATCAATCAAATAACAATCAAGTTATCAATCAAATAACTACTTTGATTTCTGTATTAAGCCTCCTGGGGGTTATTTTTTCCCAAGCATCATTGAGAGGGGCTTAATGGAGAGGGGGCTTTATAGAGGAGGCACTTGTTGTAAAGATATGCAATAAGTATAGGTAATCACACGGGAAGGAGTGCAATTAATGATTAACACTACGAGTGATATTTTTTGGCACATTTTTCAAATATCACGATTATATGCATGACAAAATCGCTTTCTTTAAAATTCAACCGCATTTTGTCAAGAGTTTTTAATTCTTTTGTAAGCAATTTGGTATAAACAAACTTGGGAAATGATTATAAACTCAAAAAGGCACATAACTTA